TTGCTGTGGATTTGTTACTCCAAAGTACCCAGACTAATACACCCTTCAAGCCATGGGCCCCGAAGCCTCTTCTAACTCTTCTCTGAGATCTAAAAATCCCTTTCTCAGGGGCTGGGGAGCAGAATTCTCAAACCCTCACGGTGTGATTCTGCCCAGCGCCCCACCCTGCATGTGGCTGGGTGGTTGGTTCGACCCGTGTGCCTTCTGTATCTCAGCCCCTTGACTCTTTCCCCGCTCCTCTGGCAGCCTGCAGACCCAAGCATCTGCTGGTGTTCATCAACCCGTTTGGAGGCAAAGGGCAGGGCAGAAGGATCTATGACAAGAAGGTGGCCCCGCTCTTCGCCCTGGCCGCCATCACCACGGACATCATCGGTAAGCGGGAGCGCCCTCCACCTGCTGCTGCTGGTGGGAGGACACAGCAGAACACGCTCCCGTCCCGCGAGGTCGGCATGCACGTCCCGGTGACACGGGTCGCATTGGTGGAGTCCTGCAGCCCTCCTCCCCCTCCCTCTCGGAGTGCTCCTCCTGCTGAACACAGACTCATGGCCCCCTAGGCTGCCACTCCAAGCTCTCCAGCTCCTACTGTCCATTTGTCCCCCCACCCCACCCCCAGATAGATCTTAGAACAGGCACGCCACCCAGCGCAGACATGCTTCACCAGGGAGGCTGTTGTCTGGTTTTAGGGAGGCAGCAGGGGTAGTTCTGGCTTCAGGTTTAGAGATACTCCGAGGACAATGGGAATGCTCCAGGCTTCGTCCGGCCTCCATGGATCCAGAAAGTCTGGCTTCCAGCAAGATTTGCAATGGTGTTCTGCAGCCTGCCGTCCGCCCCCGCCCCGCTCACTTTTTTGTTTGGTGAGGATTCTTCCATGGTGTATTGGATCCAAATGTTCAGACCTGGTAATAGGGCACCACCCGGGCCTCTGGGGCTCATGACAAAGGTGGCAGCTGGTGCCAGAGGCAAGTAGCCACGCCGTCCACACCCTTCTCCGGATCCTGCCACATCCAGGGAATCGCTGACCAGTCGCTGTGCTGGAATAGCTTCTTGTGAGCTATCAGTTCTTCAAACAAGTGTGTGGCAGGACGGGTGAGGGGGACCCAGGACACTCACTAGATGAGTGCCAACAAAATAGAGCGTGGTTTCTAAAATGATTACCCCCACCCACCCCACCTGCCGACAAGAGTAGGGAGAACCCAAGATAAGCTGTGTAGTGTGTTTCCACCAGGGTAAACGTCCTCAGCGTATAGCGCGTTGAAGCTAACGCTGGCACGGTCAGAAGGGCAAGGCCACGGCAGGACCGTCTTGGGGGAAGGGATGCCATGCTCCCAGGAGGAAACACCGAGAGGCGCTACTTTGCTAATCCTTCACGTTTCATTTTGTGGAAGTATTCGGGGCTGGAGAGGGCCCACCTCAGCAAATGCCCCACGTGCAAGCCAGTGGCGTGGCTTTTATTCTCCAGGAATCCGTTTTGGAATGATCCACTGTTAACATAAGGATGGAGCCCCGTGGTGTCGCGGCTACGAGTTGGCAGTAACCACAGGGTCAGCAGTTCCAAACCACCGGCAGCTGCTCGGGAAAGATGAGGCTTTCTTCTCCCGTAACGAGTTAGAGCCTCAAACACCCACAGGGCCAGTTGTACCCAGTCCTGTAGGGTTGCTGGGATCAGCTGGCTGCGATGCCACAGGGCTCCCTCCGTCGTCAGGAGTAGCGTCTGATTTTGGAGGCGAGTGGGCACATTTGGAAAGGAATCTCGGTGCTGGGTACGCTGCCTGGTGGACTGTGCCCTTAAACAGGGCTAACACAGCATTTCCATGGGCACTTTGAGCAGAGTGCTATGGGCTCACATTATCTTCCACTTTTTCATGTAGCCGAAGATTTTTATACTCCACCCATCCACCCTTAATTTTTGGTGTGTCTTAACGTTTTCAAAATCGTTTGTACGAGATGGGAAGACATTACACCAAACCAGGAATCCTTGTCTATCCGAGGTCTCCCGGCGCAGCATTCGGGGCTGGGGGTGTTAGGAGGTGGCCCTGCGAGTGTCTCCTGCCAGCGGGCAGCCCGCTGGTGCCTGCGGAACTCTCCGAGGTCCCCTTGACAATGACCCGTAGGGGATGGTGTTGTCTTTCCCCACAGTGACCGAGCGAGCCAACCACGCCAAGGAGCATTTATATGAGACGAACCTAGAGAAATACGATGGGTGAGTCAGCACGCTTTCCTCCCCGGTCACGGGCCGGGGCTGTGTGGTGCCGCGGAAGCAAGCCTGCTGATCTGCGCCAGTAAAGACTGAGGCCCAGGTCGATTTGCCGGCCCCCGTGGGGATGAAACCCCCGGGGAAGCCCCTCTGACCAACCGTGTCAGGTGTGAGTAGCCCCTCGGTCAGCAGGCAGAGCCCCTTGGGAAGTGGGTCAGTGCAGCTGCAGTGAGGGTAAGATGTCGCCATGCCCTCCGGTCTCCTTGGGGGCCCAGTTCACCTCTGTCCTCATTTTTATCATCACCTGCCATCCTCTGTTTTTTTTTTTCACGGTTGAACGGCCTTCTTCTCGACAGAGGTTTTTCTCGGTTTAGTTTTGTTATTGTTGGTTTTGTTTTTTATTTTTATTAATTTTTTCTTTTTTTAATTAAAAGATCTTCGAATCATTTTATTGGGGGCTCTTAAAATTCTTATAGCAATCCATACATCAGTTGCATCGGGCATATTTGTATACATATGTTGCCATCCTTATTTTCTAGACATTTACTTTCTATCGAGCCCTTGGTATCAGCTCCTCTTTTTTCCCTCCACACCCCATTTTTATCAGTTTTTAAAAATCATCTCGTTGGGCGGTCTTGCAACTCTTATCACAACCCACACACCCACTGTGTCAAGCCCATTTGCACAATGTTGCCGCCATCCTTTTCGAAACGTTTTCTTCCTCCTTTGAGCCCTGCTTTGATGTGTCTTTGCGAATATGACGGCCAGGACAGGTGAGTCGGCCGAGAAGATGACTGGGTTAATCATGGCAGAGGCCGGGGGAGGGGCGGAGGGGGGGGACCTCAAATACGAGTGATCAAAGAAACAGGGAAATGCTTCAGATGGAATATGGCGACGCTCGTATAACTCTCTTTAATGTGTTGAAACCATAAAACTGTACGGTTGTGAATTAGACGTCAATACTCTAAATGGGGTGGGGGCTGACGGCATAGACAGCCCAGTGGGAGAGCTCTAATCTGCCACAAGGGGTCGCTGTGGGCTCGAGTCTACAGGCAAGAATCCAAACTCACAGTGACCCCAAAGGACAGGGTCAGCACTGCCCCCCGTGGGCTTCTGAGACAAACTTTACCTGAGAGTAGAAAGCCTCGCTTTTCTCCCAAGGAGCACTGGCTGCTCCAAACTGCTGGCCCTGTGATGAGCCGCAGCTTGACAGGTAGCCACTGTGCCACCAGCACACACACACCACCACCACCCCCGCCCCCAAGCACTAACAACAGGGAGTCAGTTCTCAGTCCCCCCGCCCCTTAATGTAGAGGTAGGGCATGCTTCAGGTGGACAGCCGGGAGAGGCCGATGCGCTCAGCCAGGCATTCTCCCGCTCCGTGGGGACCAGCGTGGTCGTCACTGTTGGCCATTTCTGTGTCCCGGCACTGTCCACATTCTCATGGACAGAGGACTCCCTGGGGTGCAGATGGCTCACTCAGCTGAGAGGTTGGAGGTTGAAGCCCCCCAGAGACCCTCCAAGAGAGGCCTGCCTGTCTGTTATTGTTAGGTGCTATTCAGTCAGTTTTGACTCAACGAGGGGGGGACCCCCAGTCTTTCTCTGTCAGCAGAACCAGCATGGAGGGGGGCCTGCACCTGGAGGGGGTGTGGTTGTGGAGGAGCGTCTGCCGGCCCCTGCCACCTCCTCACTGCTGTGTCCCCAGAAGCCCACACTATCTCTCTGAACCTCAGCCTGCTGGCGGCTGAGCAGACCTGTTGCCTGGTCAGGGAGGAGTCAAATGCACTCCTACCAGGGTTCAGCACCAGTTGAGTTTATTGTTTTTGGAAGTGGATCACCAGGCCTCTCTGGGTGGACCTAAACCCCCCACCTCTCAGTGAGCACCACCAGGGGTGCCACCTTGTGCGTGAAGCAGGACCCAAGGGCCTCCGTGTGGGCCCCTGAGAGGGCTGTCATGGGGCCTCTCCCTATGAGTGAGCGAGCGACCAACTGCAGCTCACAGAAGCCCTGTAGGATGGAGGGAGACCGCTCCCAGATCTTGTGCAACTCTTTATGGGGACTAATGGCCTCATCTTTGTCCCAGGGAGTGTCTGGTGGGTTTGAACCGCTGAACTTGTGGTTATCAACCCAAAGTCTAACCCACAATGGCAGCACCAGGTCTCTGCAGTGTGCAAGCCCTAGGGAGAGAGGACAGAGGCTGGGGGCAGCCATGCAGCTGAGGGGACAGGGTCCCTTCGGCATAGCTAACAGTAGTCTCACACAGTGGTGCAAGTGGACACCACTGTGGCCACAGTGTCAGTGGCCAGGCAGGAGCAGGGAGGCCACATGCTCTGATCCCCTCAGACTCCCAAGGGTGCTGGCCTAACACTGTACCTATCCTTCCGAAGAATCGTCTGTGTCGGCGGGGACGGCATGTTCAGTGAAGTCCTGCACGGCCTGGTCGGAAGGACGCAGCAGAATGCCGGTGTGGACCAGAACCAGCCCCGGGCCACCCTGGTCCCGAGCCCGCTGCGGATCGGCATAATTCCTGCGGGTAGGTTCCCACGACAGCAGTGCTGGCTCCCAGGGCATCGTGGGGGGGGGGTGGGGGGGGCACACGGGGGCGGGGTAGACAGGGCCCTGGGGGTGCAGACCCTTCCAGAAGGGGTGTTGGCAGTTCTCACCTGGGCTCGGAACCAGCTCGTTCTGGTCGACCTCAGCTCTCCTGCAGGGCTCGGTGACCACACAGACCTCACGGGTGAAGCCCGCATGATGGGGTGTGAGAGGCCGGTTGTCTAGAGAAACAAACTCAGCAACCCGCATGCGTTTGTGTGAGAAAGAGCTTTGTATCGATAAGTGATCTTTTATCAAGAAGGTGCCTCCACCCCCAGCCCCACTCAAGTCTGTAAGTCCCGCCAATGCAAGGCAGGACCCTCTTCAGTCACGTAGCAGCGGCAGGCCGACAGGCGGGAAGATCACGGGCCGGTGGGGGCAGAACCGCGTGAAGCCAACGTGAATGGAAACACGGCAGGGTGGCCACATGGTCAGGCTTGAGTGGCCCACATGAGGTCTCCCCTGGAGGCACGCAGAGTCCCAGCAAGCAGGAAGGCAAGGAGGGAGAAGGAGGCAGGGAGGGAGAGAGCATTCCCAGTGTCTCTCACTCCTAAACACACAGGCGCCACCCCTAGAGAGTTGACATGAGGCTGTGACCCAGTGGATCATTTGGGCCCCAACCCTCCCCTTGCCCAGGAGTGCCCAGATGACATAATCCTTAACCATCCCATGGGGGCTATTAGGGACCTTAGCAGGTTTCCATCCAAGTGAGAAATACCCTGCACATGCTTGATCCTTTGGGACAGTTTCTTCTCTGCCAGGCCCACAGGCAGGCCTCTCCCTGGCCCTTGGCCTGCGGGCCTGGCCTCTGCCCTGCTCAGCAATGTTCCAAAGCTCGTTTAGGGCTGCCGGTGAGGCACCCCAGCCTGCTGTAAGCCTCAGCCCGAAGGCACTCCGCTCTGGTTCACCCAGTTAAGTGCCCAGAGGCGCAATGCTCCACAAGCCAGCCTCCTGCTCCAGGGCCCTCAGCCGACTTGCTCGGAAGGATGGGGAGTCCACCGCTTCCTCGTCCTACGCTCTGGCTCCGGGGGCTGCTGCTGCTGCTCTGACGTCACAGCCGTCGCCTGGACCAGGATGCTCCCTGTGCAGGCATCTCGGGGCTCCAAGGACATGCTCATCCCCCCCTGATGTTCTCTCTTCCCGGCAGGGATATCCTCCCCCTGCCCCCAAGAGGGCTCCTTTTAATACCGTGCTCCCAGTGGGATCACTGAGTCCACTCAGCACCTTCCACTCCCCTCCTTACCCAGGCCCACCAGGAGAGCCACGGCCATGGCTGAAAAACAGACCGACAGACACAGAATCGATTCTGACCCATCGCGAACCCCGTTGGACAGAGTAGACCTGTGGCCCCTCTGTGGGCTTCCGAGGCCAGAAATCTCTATGGGAGTAGAAAGCCTCATCTTTCCCCAGAGGAGGGCGTGGAGATTTTAAACTGCTGACCTTGCCGGGGATGGCCTAACGAGTAACCTACCCCGCCACCTGGGCTCCTGGGCTCCGGCCACGACCCTAGAAATAGGCAGGGCTGAGAGGCAGAGGTGGAAACGAGGTGGAGGCTGAAAAGGGATGTGGGGCTCCCCCGACAAACCCGAGCCTGCAGCAGAGCTCACTCAAACAAAGCTCACTGAACTCTGCCATCGCGTCCCCGAGACTCACAGCAACTCTGCAGGACAGCATAGAACTGCCCGGTGGGTTTCTGAGACGGTAACTCTTCTCGGGGGGTATAAAGCCTCTTCTTTCTCCCGGGGAGTGGCCGGTGAGTTCGAACTGCTGACCCTGCAACCCACTCTGCGACCCACTTGCCCCCAGGGCTCCCCAGGCTGTGGCCAGAAGAGCCGTCTGAAACAGTCCATTTCTGAGACTCGGCATCCCCTCTGCAGGCAGAACGGGGACCTGCATTGCCGCCTGCAGGTCCCCTGGTGATTCTTCTGTACGTGGAAGAACCCCTTAAACAGCTCTGGAAGGGGTGAGGCCACAGGTCACCCAGAGGGGCTGGCAGGGCAGGATCAGGTGGGCTCCAAGCCCAGGCCTTCCCCTCCGTCTGCGAGGTCAAACAAAAAACCAATCTGGGTGCAGACGCCCACCCAGATAACCACATGCACAGGTGCCCGGCCGCCCTGGACAGCCACTTGGGCCAGTCCCGCTCCCTCGCTAGCTGGGCAGCGGAGCTGACCTCGTGGGAGATGCGGGCTGCTCCTCTGAGCCCGGCCTCACTGTGGGTGGCCTGTGGCCTTCCCGGGCTGTCTCCACTCCCTTCGGGGAGCCCGAGCGAAGTTAATGGGGGCCACAGGATGCAGATGCTGATGCCACCAACTGCCTGGGGAGCTGGGGGAGAGGCCAACTCAGGTCAGCTGTGTGATGGGGGCCGGGGCCCCTCACCAGCAGGCACAGAGAAGGTGGGCTCCAGGTGTCGGCCTGCTCAGACGCCCATCAGACCCCACAGAGGCCTTTGCTTCCACCCAGCCAGCTGGGGCCTGGCCTGTTCTGTCTGAATGGTTCAGATGAGCCCATCCGTTCCTCGTCCCCTCCAGGGCTGGAGGAGGGGCAGCCAAGCCCCAGGGCCGGGTGACGGCAGGCAGGACGGGGCTGAGGGCCTTCCTGTCTTTCAGGGTCCACGGACTGTGTGTGCTACTCAACAGTGGGGACCAATGATGCCGAGACGTCCGCCTTGCACATCGTCGTGGGTACGTCCCAGCACATCCCCGCCCGGCCTCCTGCCAGCCCCTCCCGGAGAGGCCGACACCCAGCCTTTTCTGAGTCCCTGCCCGAGACCACCAGAGCTATCTGGGCAGAGACAATTCCTCCGTTAGCTTGTGCTCTAAAAGGCCTCGGCATACATTTCTGCTCAGATGTCCTACAGACCTGCGTCTGCTGTCAGAGGGGGCTGTCACAGGAGACCAGACACACACACACCCCCCACAGACTGTGGCACTTTACACTTTTCCTGATTAAGTTGCTCCCTTTGGCGAAGGGGCAGGCACTTGGCCGCTCACCCAAAGGTTAGATGTTCGAGTCCGGCCAGAGGCGCCTCAGAAGAAAGGCCTGGTGACCAGCTTGCAGAAAGTTGGCCCCCTAGGCCTAGGGAACATCGTCTGCTCGGAGTCAGCCGAGGCCGTGGGCAGGCTGTCCTGCGGGCAAGGGGAGGGTCTGGCCGGGCGGGTGCGGCCTGGGTTCCATCCATGCAGCTCCCGGTGGACGCCCGTTCCCACAGGAGACTCGCTGCCCCTGGATGTTTCCTCCATCCACCACCGCAGCTCACTGCTGCGCTACTCAGTGTCCCTGCTGGGCTACGGCTTCTACGGGGACATCATCCGGGACAGCGAGAAGAAGCGGTGGATGGGCCTCGCCAGATACGACTTCTCTGGTAACTCGGCATCACACGCAGCTGGCGGCAAGCCCGCCCCACCAGGGCAGGCAGCACGAGAGAGCCCTTTGAACTCTGCACCCCTGCGGGATCTGTTGAGCCCCCGCCCTGGTGACAGCTAGATAGGAGACCAAGTGCCTGAGTTTCTGGTCCAGGGCCCAGGGCTGGGGCCCAGCCTGCAGCTGCAGGGGGATGAGTACCCCAGTCAGCAGCTAAAGGGGGAACCGTGAGGACCCTTGACCACAGTTGGAGAGAGATGGGGGATCCAGCCTGCAAGTGGAGGGGGAGGGGGAGCCTGGGCCGCAGTCGGAGGAGTGGTACTGACGGCCCAGGGAGAACAGGGCCAGCATCTTCTCCAAAGCAGGGAGGCTCAGGGTCTTGCCGGACACCAACTCTGTGAGTGGGCTGAGGCCAGTCAAGGGTCCCTCGGCAAAGCTCCCCCTCTCAGTGTCCCAACCTGGCCTGCCTGGTGACTTCTCGCCTCCACTCTGTCCCCAGGCTTGAAGACCTTCCTCTCCCACCACTCCTATGAGGGGACCGTCTCCTTCCTCCCGGCCCAGCACACGGTGGGCTCCCCCAGGGACCAGAAGCCCTGCCGCTCGGGGTAGGTGCCTCCCCCCACCCCGCCTTCTCAGAACGATGCTTAAAGGGATGCCAAGCATGACTTTGATCTCAAGGAGGGGCTCTGGGGGGTGGAGTGGTTACATGCCTCTGGGCTGCTAACCTCAAGGTCAGCAGTTTGAAACCACCAGCCGCTCTGCAGGAGAAAGGCAGGGCTTACGATTTCGGTAAAGAGTTACAGTCTCGGAATTCACAGGGGAGGTCCCACCCTGTCCCACACGCATCCGAATCGGCTTATTTGGTGGCAGTGCATTCGGGTTTCTTGGCTTGGCGGCGTAGCGGCTCAGGTGTCGGGCTGCTGACCTCAAGGTCAGGAATTCAAAGCCACCAGCCGCTCCCCAGAGGGAAGGCGAGGAGGCTTTCTGTCCCGTAAGGCGTGACCACAGAAACCCGCAGGGGCAGTTCCACCTTGTCCCCTGCGGTCACCATGAGCCGGGGTCCACTCAATGCCTGTAGCTTTCTTTGAAACCCCTGAAACCGAGCTGAGGGCGTTGTCGGCAGGAGCGGAGGTGGGGCGGAGCACCTGAGGGACAGGCTGGGCTCGCTGTGTCTTCCAGGTGTTTTGTGTGCAGGCAGAGCAGGCAGCAGCTGGAGGAGGAACAGAAGAAGTCGCTCTATGGCTTAGAAAACTCCGGTAACTCCCACCGCAGACCCCTCACACCCCTTCCCCCACCCCTCCAGCGGCCCTTTCCCCCTCCTGTGCAACCCAGAATTAAAAACACAAAACCGTGTGGCCCTCTCTCAGCACACAGCCTCCACCCAGCTCCCCTCCCCTCATCTTGTTTCTCTGAGCCACAGGACACCTCTGTGTGTCTGGCTGCGCTCAGATACGGGAGAGGGGCGCGGCGTCTGCTCCGGTAAAGGTTCGCAGGCTCGGAGACGGACAGGGGCAGTTCCACTCTGCCCCACCGGGTCGCTGAGAGTCGGCATCCGCTTGATGGCAGTGAGTTTGGTTTGAGTTTTTGGCTGCCGGCAACACGCCCATTGTCAGTGGCCAGGACTTCGGGGACCCTAGCTTGTGCAGGCCATCTTTCTCGGTCTTGCTGGAGTGGCAGTCAGCCTGGCCTGGTCCTTCCCGGGGCCAAGGAGGCCAGCGCCATTCCTGTGAAAGTCCGGGCCGTGAGGACTGTTGGTCCCTGGGAGTAGCACCAAGTGCTGAGTCACCAGTAACCCTCAGGCAGCACAAAGCAGTGCTCTGTCCTCCTGTACTCAGACACACACACTGCACTCTTAGCTCACAGGCCACAGTGGGCCATGGTGTGCCCACCTGTATGCCCACGGACCTGCCCTCTGACGGTTAAGTGAGACTTCCTGGCGCAGCGAGCAATCTTCTGAGGACGTGGATGGTGGGAGCCCGTATGGGAGGTGTGGTCCAGTGACGGTGGGGGGAGGGGCTCCCAGGGTGGTCTGTCCCCCAGCCCCTTTCCAGACTTGAACCCTGAGCCCGAGCCCTAACATCTGCCTGCCCCTCCCCACTATAGAGGAGGTAGAGGAGTGGAAAGTGGCCTGTGGGAAGTTCCTGGCCATCAACGCCACCAACATGTCCTGCGCCTGCCCCCGAAGTCCCAGGGGCCTCTCCCCGGCCGCCCACCTGGGGGACGGGTCTTCGGACCTCATCCTCATCCGCAAGTGCTCCAGGTTCAACTTCCTGCGCTTCCTCGTCAGGCACACCAACCAGTACGACCAGGTGCGTGGGGCACGCCATCTCGAGTCTCAGCCGAAGGGGCCCTGCTGGCATGTTGGGCTTCTAACCACTGGGTTAGCGGTTTGAAGTCGCCCACCGCTCCTTACGAGAAAGGGGACTTACAGTCTCAGGAGCCCACAGGGGTGGTTCTGCCCTGCCCCATAGGGCTTCTGTGAATTTGTTTCACTTGGGAGCCCTGGTGGCTTACACGCTGGACTGAGATCCACAAGGTCAGCAGTTCGAAACCACCAGCCGCTCTACCGGAGAAGACCCCTTGAGGCCTCTACTCCAGGAAAGAGTTTCGATCTGGGAAACCCACAGGGGCAATTTTACCTGGTCCTGCAGGGCTGCTGAGTTGGCAGTGAGTTTGGTTTTGGGTTCCGTTGAGCTCGAGCGACCTCCCTGGTTGGTGGCTGAGTGGATCTGTGGGAGCCCGCCCACCACGGCACCCCTGCAGGTGTTTGGAAGGCCGGCGGGCAGCACTTGCGGCATCCCAGCTGCCCGCAGCCACCGCAGTGCGGCACACAGACAGGCACACGGACAGACGGGTGGCGACGCGGCCCTGTGACGTTCTGGTGCTTCGTCTTGCCAGGGCGTCCCTGGTTTCCCTTGAAACCTCGCTGAAAGCCTAAATGCCGGATCGCAGTGTCCTCATGGGGACTGCCTGTCCTCTTCCTCTTAGGAAGCCCAGCGGCCAGCTCAAGGAGGCATTGTGACGATCGTGCTGCTCCCCAAGAAATCTGCAGCCTCTAGAAGTAGGCTCAGGCTCCCAGCCAGCCTGGTGCCCAGCACCGGCGAAGTAGACAGCATTGGTGCTGCGATGCCCAGGGAACTGGAAGTTAGGGTGATGGGCTCTGGTTTGGGTACAGCGGTTTACTTGCGTCATACTTCAGATCTGAGGCCAACACAGCTCTGATGCGGCTTCTTCAATCCCAAGCCAAACCCACTGCCATCGGGTCGATATTCGACTCATAGCGACCCTTCAGGCGATTCCAATCTTCACGGGAAGAGACAGCCTCATCTTTCTCCCACAGAGCAGCTGGTGGGTTTGAACTGCTGACTTTGGGGTTAGGAAACCCACTGCACTAGCAGGACCCCTACACTTCACATAGTGCTTGCTAAGAAGATATCAGAAAATCCCAACTCAACTCCGGAGCAGTTGAGATGAGAGCCGTGATTCTGGAAGCTCTGGTCACGTGGGCGGGGGCCTGGGCAGGCGGGTGAGCCAGGCTCCACTCTGCCTCTGGTGGGTTGGGGTGTGGCCGGGTGACCCCTCCCCACCTCCACTCTACCCCACACCACACATCACAGCCTCCGTCCCCGTCCCTGTCTCTGGCAGTTTGACTTTGGGTTCGTGGAGGTCTACCGCGTGAAGAAGTTCCATTTCACGTCCAAGCGCCTGGAGGAGGAGGACACTGACCTCCGGGAGGGCGGCAAGAAGCGGTTCGGGCAGCTCTGTCGCGGTGACCATCCCGGGTGCTGCTGCCCCACCTCCAGCAGCTCCTGGAACTGTGACGGGGAGGTGCTGAGCACCTCCGCCTTGGAGGTCAGGTGAGTGGCGGGGGAGGGCTATGTGTGTGTGTGTGGGGGGGGGTCCTCCGGTCTCCGACCCGCATCACTGAGAAGAGTGCGGCCCCGTGGACCAGTGCTCGGGGCTGTGGCCATGCCTGTGCCGTGCCGTCTGGAACATGAACTACACGGGTCACCTTCACCGCAGGCAGTTGCTGGAGGGTTTTGTCAGGGTGGCCTTTGCCGTGGGGCCCTTTGTCATCACGGTCAGTCTCTGGGGCGCTTGGTTCTCAGATGCTGCTGTAAAGGGAAACATACCAGGTGGGCGCTGCCGTCACCTACAGAAATGTGTCCTCACGGACTCTGAACTCAGGACGCCGGCTCTGGGGGAATGTCCTTGTGTCCTTCCAACGTCCGTGGGCCCGCCGTACCTGGAGGTCTCCTTGTGCATGGGCCTCGAGCTTCCCCTGGGGCTAGGGGCTTCTCAGCACAGGGACCCCAGGCCCTAAGGGTCCACTTCACTCTTGGCTTGTCTGTCTTGGTGGCACGGAGGCCCCTCCACCTCTGCTCACTTGTGGAAGCATCTCTTTCCTACCTCAAGCGAGATTGATCCACGACACAACCGATCTTGTGGATGCCGTCTTTCCCGTGAACCCTGCTTTTGCCAATGTCATGGGGTGTGCTCCAACCCATCTCGACCCGATGAGCGGTCAAACAGAACTCTGCCCGGGCCGGCGCCAGCCTCTCGATCGTCCCTGTGCCTGAGCCCATGGTTGCAGCCACAGTGTCCACCCAGGAGGCCCTTCCCGCTTTTCGCTGCCCATCTCCTTTACCAAGCACGATGTCCTCCTCCAGGGACTGGTCTCTCCTGACAACGTGCCCAAAGCACGTTGTTTCTAAGGAGCACTCTGGCGTTCCTCCTTCCAGGACAGATCTGTTTGTCCTTCCAGCCATGGTCAATGGTACTTTCCCAATTCTTCTCCAGCACCACAGTTCAAAGACATTAGTCCCTCTGCACTCTTCCTTATTGCATGCCCCACTCTGACGTGCATGTGAGCCCAGGGAGAGCACCGTGGCGTGGGTCAGGTGCACCTTAGTCCTCAAAGTGGCCTCCCTGCTTTTCACCACTCTGAAGAGGTCATGTGCAGCAGATTCGCCCAGTGCTATGTGCCATCTGACCTCTTGACCGCCGCTTCCATGAGCATTGATGGTGGATCCGTGGAAGACAAAGTCCTTGAGAATTGGCATCGCGTAGGATAGTTGCATCGTCTGCAGAACCAGATCCCAACACAAACCACCTGTCTGCCCAGGAGCCATCCTGTGGTGGCTTGGGTGCCACTGTGAGGCGTCCCCAGTGTCTCACATGCCAGCAGGGGCACCCGAAGTGAGTGGGTCCCAGCAGAGCTTCCAGGAGAAGAACTGACTACGAAGAAGGCTGAGTCTGTTCCACTTCAGAGGGATTAGCCACTAGCAGTCTTAGGGCTCGGGATCGCCGGGGACGTGGTCCGGGTATTTTCAAACAGACGGCCGGAAGAGGACTCCCTCGGCCCAAGGCGCTCAGAAGATGCCTGAGGAAGAGCCGCCTCCTCAAAGTGGAGTCGACTGTCATCACGTGTGGATGGAGTCCAGCCTCCAGGAATAAAGCTTTCAGGGCCTTCGCCTGCTGCTGGGGCGTGACCCAAAATGAGAAGCAGCCGCAGCAAGCATCGCCGAGTCACTGGAACCCGGAATGCTCACAGGATGAACCTGGGTTGGACTCGTTCCTGGGAGAGACCAGTCCCTGGGGCAGGACATCGTGCTGGTTAAAGCAGAGACAGGGGCAGCGACAAAGAGGAAGGCCCTCGGGTGGATGGATGGATGGATGGATGGATGGATGGATGGACGGACGGACGGACACAGTGGCCGCGCCCACAGACTCAGATGGTGAAGATGCGCAGGCCTGGGCAGTGTTTCACTCTGGTGCACACAGGAGGGTCGCGGTGGGTTGGGACTGACTGGATGACACCCGTCTAATGACAACCAATCACAACAGAGGGAGGGATCAGCAAACCTCACTCGGTGCCATCCAGCCGACCCTGACCATTGTCCACCCTACTGGGCAGATCATTGCTGCCCTTCCGGGCTTCGGCGGGCATAGCTCTCTCGGGAGCAGGGAGCCACATCTTTCTCCCGTGCAGCAGCTGGTGGCTTTGGCTCTCACATGGAGGCAGAATCATGGCCCAGACCAGCTGACCCCTGTTTGGGGGGGAAGGGGATGCAGTTCAGTCCCCCTCACAACAAGTAACCAGACACCTGGCATCCCAGCATCCCTCCTATACACAGTGTGGGGTCACGGGTCGCCGACACCCCTCCGCTGAGGTGCTCGGTCTCGTCCTCGCCCTCCGCACCCTGCTATTCTCTCATCTCCTATCAGCTGAAGAACGAGGGGAACCACCTTCAGGACACTTCCTAAGTCCTGGGCTCTCTGCACACGCTGCCAGCCCCCCGGCCCAGCACAGGCTCGGGGGTGGGGGACACGGGGGTGGACTCTGGGGCGCAGGAGATCTGGGGTGGAAGAAGGGGACATGGGAAGGAGCCAGGAGTTTGGAGCTGTGAGGTGGTCAGCTGGGCCCTGGGGCCATCCGGCTGCCTTGTGGCCAGAGTGGGTGTTGGGGACACCAACGAGGCCCCCACCCTGGCATCTGCCAGGCCTGCTCCCTGACCTAGTGCCTGTCCTGCCCAGTCTCCCCAGGGGTTGACCTGGGAGCTGGTAACAGATGAGGTAGGAACATGGGGCAGTGGGGAGGGGGGCTGTTTTGTCTTTTTTTAAAAAAGAAATGGGCGTGAAGGTTCATGTTTGGGAACAGAGAGGGTGTGAGGGAGGTGGCGAGGACACCGCTGAGGGGGAGGCTGGGGAATCTCCACAGGTTGGCAGCTGTCTGCAGGGCCAGGAGAGCTCGAGTGGACCCAGACGTGGGCCTCACTGTCAGGGTTGGGGGTCTGG